GCCTTTATGATAAATTTGGTGAATGGGGAAAATGGTCCTATCCCATCCATTAATGTCATCGATGCCATGTGAAGGTATTTCCTAAGAACTTACTCATTTATACCTCTCTACTAAATGTAGTAAAAGCTAAACTGAACAATATCCCTAGTTACCATGGGTTAGTTTGACTCGTGCTGTTCTAAGAAGATAACACATTTAGATCCTTGTATTCCATACAGATGAACTCAACCAGACAGTCTCACCTCTTCTGATTCTGTCACAATTAGCAAACACACCAGAGCCTTGTCACTGTCTGACAGCAACTTTCCTCCTTTGCTTTACTCCTGAGTTCCATGTTCTTCCTCTTATCTCTATTTTCTATGTATTGACACCTGTTTGTTAAACTGCTAGGGCACATAGTAGATTCTTATATTTGTTATTCAACAACTATAGCCAAAATCTATCAAAGCTAAAGTAAAATTAATGATTTAAATCTGCCTTAAAAATAGATGTGGGATTTTGTTTAGTTGTTTTTTCTCTTTTCTTTTTTTAAAGCACTTTTTGGCAAAATTACTTGCTCCCACTCTAAGAAAAAAACAAATACTAGGACTCCAAGGGTGTTGAAGGTCAGAATTAATATGCTTTTACTAATTAGTCTGTCTGAAGGAGTTTGCCCTACCTGCACCTTCACTATAACTGCTTATAATCAGCTTTCTTTTAATGAAGTGCTTTAGTGTCCCAATTCACTGAAAATAAAAATTAATAATAATAAAGCATAAACATGGAGAGTAAATAATATTGATTTTGGGAGGTTGCATTTTTCTTTTCATACCTTAGTAATTAATTGTATGTTGTATCCTAAAGCATTTTAGTTCAGCCACTTTGGGGAAGGTGAATACTATGAGACAAAAATACGTGACAATCATCTAGTGTCCTTGAACAGCATTATTATAAAGAAACAGTACAGAGTTCTCATCTGCAAGATATTCAACATCAGTAATCACATTTCTCATGAAGACAAATAAAAGGGAATTACATCCAGGTGCATATGTGTGCTCGTCTCCCTAGTGGTTTGCTACAAAGATCTCCCCAAAGGCAGTTCCTGATTTCTGGGCAGGGTCACCAGTAAAAGCAGTTAAAAAGGCTGGGGTGATTGGCATCTGGATACTACAGTAGTCAAACCATCCCCCAAATGATCATAGACCTGTTTTTGCTAAGAGGAAAAAAAAAAGTGACAAGGAGAGAGAGGGTCACCTTTGGAATGCCAATCTGAGCTGTACTTTAGTTGCTGTTTTTACCAGGTTCCATTTGGATTACTAGCATCACATAGAAAGAAATAAGTTCTTTGTAAAAATCAAGTGGATTTACTCTGCATTCTTGAAAAAAACGTGCATGATTATTTTTCTCCAAAGACACAATAATATCTCCTTCCAGTTTCATGAGAGAGGAGATGTTCTGTTTGTTATTTCTGTTTTGGAAGGAGAAAGTACTGTTAACCCCATGCAACCAGGGGAGTATTTCACCATATATGTTTACATGGTTTTCTAATTATAAGATCACAAAACCATGTTGCACTTAATGCTTTTTCGTACCCTCTGATAGAACCCAAGAACTGAATATCCTTTTTATATTGATGAATTCTGTTCATATCACTGTTTTTCACACTAGTAAAGGGTAAATTCACATTCATCTTAAATTGTAAATATAATAGTATATGAAATAATCATAACCAAACAGTTTATTTAAAAATCTAGGTGTTTTTAAACCCACAGATGGCTTGGTAACAATCTCTATTTTGAATTTGGGGGGCTACTTAAGTATTCAACATTCACAGTATTAGAATTTTAGAGGTTAGAAGCATTGGTCATCCAACATAACTCTCAATGTAATAGATGAGCAATATTAGACCCTCAGAAGAGTAGTTTGTCCAGTGTCTCAACACTAGGTAGATTAATTCAACTATTTTCAATAACAAAATTAAGTATCATATTTTAATATAGAATATTGCATGTTACTCATGCCC